AAATATAAATAATTAATTTTTCCGAAAAATTTATGAATAATACATTCACAATTTACGAATATCATATATCTTTCGTTCAAAGTATATACAATTGATAAATAAAATTAATAAGTAACAGTTGCAATATACTCAATTGCAAATGCATTTCACAAGAGTCGACTCAATACTGAGTGTTTACAAGATCTACAAAGATTTTAATCTGTGCACCAATTAGCTCAAATAACGCGAAGGAAAAAAGTCGTCTTAAACGATTAAGACGTTTCTCACACGTCTCTACGATGCCTTTCAGATAATTGTCTGAGTATTCTCATCACGAATGCGAATGATATCGCCCGGAATCGTTTTCATTACTCATCCGACATTTTACCTTGGGACAAATGGAAGAGTCTCATCAAAGTGTTCCCAAGTAGAAAATTCTTACTCCAAATGAAAGTGCGGTGATTTACGACTATTACGTATTACGAGCGTTTTCACGGATCACGCGATCGTTTATCGTACCGTAAAATAGAAGCCGGAGCGTCAGATCTTATTATTAATGATTATTAAAGGAATCTTTATACCTTCCTTTTGCTCACGCGGTTCTAAATGCAGTTCTGCATTATTGGCAAGCGATCGATAAAATCTTGAACTGAATAATTCTGAAGCTGGATAATTCTTTTACGTCGTTTACGTTAATTAACTTTGTTATCTACCGAAACTTCGATATTCATTTATATCGCAACGTGATTACGATACCGTAGATCGCGATAGAGTTTCAATCTCGTGTTTCCTGCTTCCTTTACGGTATCAGCTGGAGAAAAATCGTTTAACTTCTTCAGAGATCGTTCGCCTACACGCCTTCCTGCTTCGATCGATACTTTGATAACATTTCATATTATTGGGCCGCCTCTTGTAGCTGACGTTAATTCCAAGCGTCATACATTTCCGTCAAACATACGTTTTTTTACGAAACGTATTCCGGTCTATCGCGTTGCGAGTAATTTCTGAACAATTTTAATTATGCTATTAAAAGTTTCAATTATGTTTCGTATAACTTTTTCTTTAACGGAACTGACGTGGGGATCTAGTGAATCCACTCAATTATATTCTTTACGTTACATTTGCAAATTTGAATTATTTTATTAAAATAAACTTAGTATTCATTCATTTTTTTTTTACATAATCTACATCATTTCTGAAATTAATTTCTTAAAATTAATTAGTGCATTTTAATTAATTTCCTTTTAATTAACGTATATTAAATGAATCTTATAGATCCAATATCAGTTAACTGTTACAGATTTTGACGTCAGCTTCAGAAAATTAATATTGATCGGGACAAATGTATTTTAAAAGAAAAATTACGAACTGTTAAAAAAACACGTTTTTTAAGAAAAGGTTAATTTCCTAACGCCAATAGTTTACGGTTTAAAATCACTATCCTCTAATACGATTTAAGCTATAGATTTTACCGGAAATCCTGAAATACATAGCATCTTCTCTAAACAAAGTATATCTGACGATATTGAAAGACGCAATTTTCACCGAAATACTTTCATGGTGCAAATCGCATTATTCAACGAGATCTCACGACACGATCAATTGAATGATCACAAAGTGTGTTTGTCACAAGAAAATATTTTTAGTTAAAACGAGCGCCAGAGATCGAAAGCGAATTCGAGCACGTAGCTTATCTCAGGCTAGGCGTTTGCTCGCGAGCGCCATAATACGTCCAAACGACTTTCTCTATCGCATAAATTGTACTCTCATTAGATAATTTCGTCTGTACACCTCTACATAATTAACGGGTACTTACCTATGTAATCCATAGTCTACGATTAATTCCATATAACGTAAGAATCTTGACCAAAGTCTAGAATGTACTTCTAAACTGAGATTAAACTCGGGCCTCAATTTAAAAAGATATCGACCTTTAGAGGAGCTTACTATAAAGTAAAAGATACTTGTGCTGTTAGAACGGATTTTTTTTCCAAAGCATGTTCTCCACGAAATTGAAGTTCTGCAATTCTGTGTAACAAGATATCTTACTGTTGAAAATTAAAGGCAAATTACCGATATCTTCTAAAGATCGATTGCAAATTTATCTATACATAAATTTAGATGTTCTTATACGTGTAAAAAATGTGTATTAAATAAATACAATATAATTTAAAAAATATTTCGTGGCCAACAGTTTTGGAAAACTTTATGTTAGAAAATTATATTGTTGTGATGTGACTAAAAAAATGTTATGTAGATATCATAAAAAGAATTTGATAAGTGCGAAGAGGCCGGTTGTCAAAAGATAACAAAAATAGACAGATTACGCTTCTCTAAATGCGTAATAATTTCTGTCATCTATAAGAATACATGTGACGTACAATTTATATCTACAGTTTACCTTCGCATATAAAAAAAAGAATGTTATTAATAACACTGTTTTTCTCATCAGTCGCAGTTGACATATAAATAGTATCACACGATATCAATGTACAAATTCTGTTCAATCAAAAGCAATATCGATCTTATAAAGATCGATTGAAAATTTATCGTAGGCGCTCCTATACATGTAAAAATGTGTATATTAATAAATTATTCTCCTAAAGTTACAATTATTATATTACAATCTATAATAATATAAGCTTACGACTCGTTATTTATTTTAGAGCAGGCTTTATATGTAGATTTATATATATACTTTATATATTTTTACTTCGACAAAACGAAAAGTTGGTCACAATCATTGTATAAAGTACGCGTTATGAATAACAAGTGGTCTCTATTTCGCGTTTAATCAATCGAGAAAATGAGGTAGATCCAATTGTCATTGGTGAAATCATTAATTCAGACTGTCTTGATGACCGGTGACCTCGCACGTAAAGAAGATGAATGTTTTTCGCGATTCACTGTCTCGTGAACTTTAGACGTACATACATGTATGTTTATATTTTATAATTGTCGAGAGAACTCGTTCCGCATTAGTGGCGCGCAGTTTGTGTATAGTCATGTATATGTGTATGTAAATGTATATTTTACAGATTTTAATAGAGAGTGTACTTAAAACGCGCAGCACTACGCACACAAATCGTATACACTTGATAGTTTATACACCTATTATACATCCATATAGAAAGTAGAAAGATGATATTCCATATATATTACTACTGCAAATGACCAACTTGATAGATCAATGTATTAATGACTTCTTTATTTGTAATGAATAAATTATTATACTCAATTCTCATGTTGTATATTTTCTTCCCTGCACATTTTATTAATTAAACAGATTGGATATTTCGATTAATGACGACTCTTAACAGGCTCGTGGTTTCTAAGCGCAGTCTTTTTGCGAATTGAACAATTAAGAATTTACTGTGACATATGTAATGATAGGGAGTAAGGGAATAAAAAAATTTATTAGTTTTTTTTTAATTATTAGGAATGTAAAAGTCGTAACTCACATATCTGGGAAATGGAATAAGTGATAATGAAACAGATTTCGTAATGACGTTTAAGTCAGTGATATACACCTTTGTACATTTATTTTGCAAATTATTTTCAAATAACGATAATTGCTAATAATCATATTAATAATAATTATATCTTTGATGTCATAACACCAAACAATTGACCATGCCTACTTAAGTAATGTACAGCGCTTAATAATTAATGAAGATTAGTACCAGCTCTCATACACTTAGCTATCGCAGGAACTCTCGTGGTGAATAAAAAAGAAAAGTGAGCTGCCTCTGATCATTAGCTCTCACGAATGCTCGTAGTTTCATGTTCTCACTTGATTATTACTGATATTAACTCCCGCTATTTTCGTTCTCGTGAAACAAAACAGAAGAAAAATATGAAGCTTTTGTGTCTGTGTGAACGCACATATTAAACATAATTACTATACATCGCGCATTTTATGCGATACAATGTACAAGTTTCCCGGACACTGCGCTGTTTTCTCTGTCGGCTCGTATTTATATGCCGGAATTAAACAAATATGTAAATAAAAAAAAATACAATCGATATAATACATATATACATATTACATTATATATTAATTATATTTAAGAAATATACAGTATTAACAAAATACACAAATTACGAATGTGATAAATTTGAAAAATTGACTTCTTGTCGTAGCAAAATTTCGTTTATTCAAATAAATGAGGAAGCAAGATATATTTTAAGGTGTCTTAAAATATTTGAAATGTGCAGTTCTGCCTTGAAATGTACATGAATTCAGTCGTATGACTCGAACCGCCAGAGAGAGATGCGCGTGGAAAATTAATAGTAAAGAACAATTACATATTTGTAAAACATGATTTTTTTTATAAGCTCACATACGTTTTACTTCCTAATCTTTTCCTTATAGCATATATGTGCATACAAGCATACAACAATGAAAATCAAACATCCCTCGCGTACATACACTCGCACATACACATATACACAAAAATATTCTCTGTTGCTGGGAGAAATATTGTGATGCTTGAATTAATATTTCGAAAAGTAGGCAGAGTACGTCGACAAATTACTAGACAGACGGTATAAGATTATAATGTTAAGGTAGTATCGATGAGAGAGAAATTTTAATTTACACAATGTATTATATATATATATATATATTAAAATTTCCTTATTGAAATTGATCTATACGTGCCGAACACGAACAGCCTTATTTTTTCGTTTCTTTTCTATATGTACATGATATATTATTCGTAAGAAAACGAAAAACTCTCCGGAAAGATCCTTTTCAAACATTCCGTCCCCTCTAAAGACCGAACGATAATTTTGAATGATACTAAAAATAAGTACACCATACGAGTTGTGAAGCTGAAACCAGCTCGTTCGCAAAGATATCGTGACTGGCCCATTAACACCAACAATTAGATAGGTGCACTACTGAAATACATGCGCGACGAATTGATTGACATAATGAAAAATTATCGAAAAGTAGAGGCAATAGGACAATAACAACTTTCCCAGCGGAAAATCGTCTTGTACCATTATTTTTTTCCAATATCGCGCTACGGTATAACTTTACGATATCCATTTATCATTAATAATTCGTACGTAAAGTGAATACGGAAAGTGATACATAAGAAATCCCATCGGTTTCGTATCACGAAATTGAATACTCGACTTGTGTAATAATCGATATCGATGTAAAATTGCAAAAAATTTATCGCGCTCGGAAGACCTAATGAAAAAATGCCTTAAAAAAGCGATACTTTCATTTTTAGATCATAAGATCTCGGCGTTCTACAAATAAACTTCTCGGCTCAATTAAATGAATTAACGACAATTTGATCAAACGTCAGCGGATTATTAATCAGATGACGGAATTGAGAAAATCATTCGAAGAATGCAGAGATCTTTTGATTATCATTACGATTGCACACGCGATTACCACGAGCTTGGCACGTGTCCCGTGACCAGTGTAAAATGTGAGTTTATGACAATGTTTACATGTATCTGTGAATTATCGAGGTACCGTCTGTTGGACAAGGTAATTTCTTAGGTTTAAATCCCCATTATACGCAACATTTAGTGCATCCTATGGCGGAACATCACGAGGCATACATCCTATTAATTTCATGTTTATAACGTTCCTGAACCGCTTTCCTCTTGAGTTTAAACGCCGCGGTGACCAAACCCATATCGGGTGACCATTGTTCTGCACACAACTTCACCGCACCGGGTATTTCAAACCTTTGGAGCTTACCTATAAACGATAAAGGTAGTTGAATAATAATAAATTTATCGATTGACGATAACAAAATAACAATCAAAAATAATAAAGAATATACAGAAACATACATTTCCTCGCTTGCTCAACAAGTTCTTGAAGTACCGCTTTCTCGATCTGTGGATTGTTACAAAGTTCCTCGAGATTCTTTCCAGTTATGCCTAGATTACTAGCAATTTCTTCTAAATAATGCTGGTTAGGTACAACCAATGCCACTGTGTACGCTTTATTCGCATCGCCATAGACGCATATGTTTTCTACGACAGGACAAGTCTTTAACTCTGCCTCAACTTTACCCAAAGAAACGTACTCGCCGAGTTGTAATTTAACCAAGTCCTTCTTTCGATCTACATAAACAAAACATTAATTATCAGAGATATCAAAAATAATAACTAATATAGATATTATATTTCTCATAAGAACAAAAAGATATTATGTCCACTGTAATTTTTGGGACGTACCAATAATTTTGATGGAACCATCTGCATGAATTTCGCCGATATCACCTGTTCGGAACCATTGTCTGCCATCCTCTCGGAAGAAGTCTTCTTTCGTTTTATCCGGCAATTTATAGTAACCCGCGGAAACTATGTCTCCACCGATCACTATTTCTCCTCTAGGATGTGGATGATCTTTGACTCGATAACCAGCTTCTTCCCAATTCTCTAACCGGATATCGCAAACCGTAGTAGGTGCTCCAACTCTTCCGGTAGTTCTATCGTACGCTAAAAGAAAAATGTACGTCGTGACAACAGGAACATCGAATAAGCATTCCAGTTCAAAAATACATACTATCCATAACGGTTGCGCAAGAAGTCGTTTCTGTGAGTCCATATCCTTGAGTTACGGTGACGCATAGGCAAAGTTTCACTTGATTATGAGTATCCGGACTGAGCGGAGCGCCTCCAGAGAGCACAAGTCTAACACGACCGCCTAGTACTTGCTTTGCGGCTCCGAAGATATACTTGTCGAAAAGAGGCGTTTCATAGCCTCGTTTCGTCCACTTCAGTTTGTATTCATATGCAAAATTAAAAATAGCTTGTCTAAATGGACCAGATTTCTTCACTTTTTCGTTTATTCCTTTGGAAATTCGATCGAGAATAAGCTGAAACAATTTTACATTTGTATCAGTATTACCTAAAAAATTGTATTAAAATTAGAAACAAAATTTAATAATTTGTTTTAGAAAAGATATTGATGTATTTTTTCATTTATTATAAAATATTTTTTTTTATTTGTAAACTTAAAGACTTGAGATGCTCTGAATAACTTGGTGATTAATAGATAAACAATTTTCTTTTCAGATAAAAGAATTAATAAGAAGAAATCGAATGATTTGCAAAGATTTGAAACTCACCGGTACTGCAGTTAAGCAAGTTGGATGTAGGACGGAAGCATCACCCTTCGATCCTCTCTGAATCTTACTACTCGAATCAATCAGTGTAAGCGGTGAGCTGTAACCGATGGGCACTCCGGTTAAAAGACACACACTTTCGGCCAGTAGCTCAAAGACATGGGCCAATGGCAAGAAACCGAGAAAAACGTCGTCTGATCTAATCTCTACAGCATCGGAAAATGCTTTTAGAGTACTAATGATATTTTTGTGAGAAAGAAGGACGCCTTTCGGCACTCCCGTCGAACCAGACGTATACATAATTATAGCGGTATCATCATTCTTTGGCGAGTTAGCACTCGCACTTGACTTATTGCCCATTTTAATAACATCGGTAAAGGGTAACAATTGCACTCCATCCTGAAACAAAAACAATAAATACTTAAAAAAAAACCAAGAAAATGAAGACTACTAATCATAAGTAGCAGTACTGACATCAACCATTACGTAATAACATGACAGTCAATCATAGTCGATACCACAGCTATTAGGCAAAAGAAGTTTTTAGAAGAAAAATAATACTAACAGATCCATGCGGCGCGTGCATAACCGATTATTTAAATTATTAGTTAATTTTCGCAATAACTATTCCATTAATACAATTACGTACAATCATAAAAAAAAGTCTGAATAAAGATTATGTATATTCTTACGATTTAATCTATAAAGTCATCTAAATGTCAATTTGTATTAAAAATTAATATTGAATATTTAAATTAAAATATACCTTGTAACCTTTGGTGCTAGTCGGTTTGAGTTGATCTTCCATATAGATAATTTTCTTGACTTCCGGTACCATGTCTAGTAGACGCTTGAATTTTGGCAGAAGTTCATGGCTGGTAATGACAGTATCTACTTCGGTTTCGTTGATACCATGAGCAATAGCCTCATCGCCTAAAGTCGCGTATATCGTCACCACAGTGAAATTCTGTTTGAAACATCCATGTGCCGCTATCATCCATTCTGCTCTCGTCTCGGCGAAGATAACAATATTATTACGTGGCTTCATACCGAGTTCTACCAAACCTCGGCCGAAGGAAGAGGCCAACTTTTCGACTTCGCTAAATGACTTCCATTTGTACTCTCCCATTTTATACTAGAAAATAGATAGAATTTCACGATACAAAATTAATTTTGTATCTCTTCGATATTAACGTTAAGTAAAGAAAATATATAGATATGTTGAGATTCGTCCTAAAAATTCTTCTCTTTCTATAATTTTCTCTTTTACTTTTATTTTTTAATATAAAAAAATGACAATTTTTCACATTATGAAATATTAAAGGATTTATATTTAAATGTCTGAGACATATTACCTTTTTGAAGATTCTGCCGTTAGGTTGAGGTTCATCTTCCTCTGCTAAGATTTGTCTGGTACCAAGGCACTTCTTATCGCCGTACATTTTGACAACGCAAAGAAGTACCTTTTCCAGAGTATCAACCTTTTCACGTTCGAGCATGATGTGCATCGATTTGGGAGAATCGACGCTTCTGTAAGTGATCTGGTTGTCATCTTTGGAGATTGGACGGGCCTTAATCCTCCTGGAGGCCTTACGCTTCTCCCATGGTCGTTGAAGTATGAGATACACGGGGAAGGTCAGCAAGTCGTACACGTACGACAGAGCCTTGATCGCGTGGATCGCGCCGTAGATCCAGAAACCTTCCATTTCCCTGTTAAATAAAGAAATCACTCAATATTCGTATTTAGATATCAGCTCGTTAATAAAAAACACTATTCCATGCTTCTCTTCTCTTGTGAAATTTGGACGCAAAAAGATTATAACGAGTGCAAAACTCGAAGTAAATAAATTTAGATTTTATTTTCATATCCCCTCAAAAGAAAAAAAATTATTGTAATTATATAATTTATAGATTTATATAATTCGATCATTGTACTTTAATTCTCTCTTGTATATAGAAAGATACAAATTTTAAATATTATTAATTATCTATATTCTCGCGACATTGTCTTATCGGATACTACAATATCTCATTCTGCTTATCCGTAGCAAGCGAATTATCTACTCGAGTAAGCAAGTTTTCAAGCGTGAGAGAGTAAAGGATATCGGTCGGAATCATGCGTCTTGCAAACAATTCGAATCAATAACGATCAAAAACTATCTCGTACATAAACGATCGATAAGCAATATTTAATCATCAGGATTAATTCTTTCGTGGACTTTTGACGAATTAGCGCCATTTATCTATTTTTATAGCAGCGTGGTACAGATATTGTAACATAACACTTATCATGCTACGTGCGTAGAAAAAAAAAAAGAAGCGCTCTTACAAACACGACATATCTATCAAGATCGATAAGTGATACGATAACAAGCTATTGAAGCAATAGGATACAAATTCAATCATACACATCTATAGTATGCATCAACAATTATAAGAATGTAATTGTATTCCTGAAGCGAAGAACTAGAAAGGCATATCATTTAATTAGTTTGCCTTTTCTAGCGTTACCTGGAGAGTGCCAGAATACCACTGTCGCTTGTCAAACCTAATAAAAAATATAGTTTCTAATTGAACAATAAAAATGTAAAAGTTGCTCAATTACATCTCCTTTAATGCCTTGTGTGACATATATATTGGCTATTGATTTTCAGTCCGCTAATAAAATTTCACACGTTAGCGATATTTTTTTACGATAAAATATGTTTGAGTATTAATCTTCCTTAAATATTTAAAAAAGATTTTGTTGCCTGTTGCAAAAGAGAATTAGTGAACTGTAGGAAACATTTTTTTATTTTTTTTTCATCTTAATTTACCAAATAATTTATGTAGCTACGAAAAATTCATATTAATACTGCATGAAAGAGTGATCATTTTACGAAATATTATATATAAATAGCCGTGTTCAGCAAAATGTTTATCTTATAACTGTTGGAAATTTTCTTCGCGCTGATTGAATTATACTTTTAGAACTAGAGAAATAATCCTATCTCTCTCTCAGTAAAGAAAAACTTCCAATAGTTGTGAAACATACGTTCTACTGAAAACGCAGCCAAAAGTAGATCTATCTATATCCGCGAGAAAGAGACATAAATCCAAAAAGTTAATTTCAAGTCCACTTCGATCACATGTTTCGCGAGGTCAAGTCCAGTTCCGATAAAATATCAATCTGCGGACGAAGTCAATTTAGATCAGTGGACTTGCATATCCATTGATTCTTTTTTTATTCTACTATTGATTGCGCCATATCGTATTCACGATACTTTTTATTCTACTATTGATTGCACCATATCCTCTATTCACGATATACCGACCATCCCTCAACTTTATTATGCAACGCACTTATGCCACCTCTTTCTCCTTAGGTATAGTTAGATCAATAGTTACTTTCTTACTTCACACTACAATATTGTTATTAATCAAGTTTCTGAGTTTGCTTAATATTGAATTGTGCGTATAGCAGTCAGACGGTATCAGCATAATGCAGTGCACTTGATACCGTATACGAGAAGCAAACATGAGTTATGTCACGTTCCTGCGATTCAACTTAAAATAACAAGTAGGTCTGACGCAAACTTTGGTTGACATTACATCAGTTTGTAAAAATACTTTACAGTTTTTTCGCTATTGAATTAAACACCGATAAGATAACGTTATTTCGAAAAACCTGTTAATTCGTTTCTTATTATCATATATAATGACATTGTTTTATCATCATTAATCTTTTATTCCGATGTTGTTGGTTTGCGACACGGTAGTCTGAATGCTAATTATAATTATGTATTTTCATATATCTCATTATTATTAATATATGTAAAAATATAATGCAAATATAAATGCAGTTAGTTAATTGATGTTCAAAGTTCATGTTTGAGTTTTCTATAATAAATATTAAACGCATTGTGCAAAAGAAATAAAGAAAATTACTACATGATCTAAGAGTAACTAAATCGTCTCATGTATACCAATTAGCAAATAAACGCACTTATTATCATCGTAAGAGCATTAAAAATAAAATATGGAATACAAGATATAACGAAAATGAAATATACATGACGATATGGAACACTTGAAATTAAATCTACATTAAGAGTCGTATAAGAAAAATAGCACCTTCGTAATTGTATAATTTATAAGTCTATAAGTAGAAAGAAAATAGGGAAATAGGGCAAAGATATTGACGTCTATATATATAAAGCTAGTCTTTAAATCACTTTTTAAAAATTTTATAAAAATCCGTACGTATAATCGATAAAGGAACGATTAGATTTCTTCAATTAAAGAAAGTAAAAAACAGGTTTTAAAAAATAGCAATCGCTTTAAAAATAAAATCTCATCAAAGATGAGATTAGAGTATGTTAAAATTGAAATTAAATCATAAATGTAGCCTTATTTTTGCGATCAACTGCAATTTTCATTTATATCTCATGTCTCGCATATTTTAATTTAAAAATGGGAGAAAAAACATTGACTGCCTTACAATTTTGGTCATAAAATTTATGATTTTATGATAAAATCGATGATTCTGTGGGAGACCCTGCATGATAGTGGAAGATCAAAGTGTTGCAGAAAAAGACACTGAGAGAACACGTAATCGAGATTTCAATATCGTTACGGACTTTGAACGACGCAAGTTCACGTTGCACGCAGCGAGCGAATGGATGGAGCCAACCAGTCTATCGGGTCTTATCTGCGATTGAGTATGTGTCCAAAGGGTCTCGTGCGTAAGGCGGAAGTTGAAGGGGAACGAAGGGGGCCAACTGTGCGGTAACAGGCATCTCACGGTCAAATGCCGAAGTACATCGTCCGCTGGAGATCTCGAGATCTCGTTGTTCATTTTCTTTTCCAACGATTTGTCAATCCGCAAATTCCCGTGAGTCGAATAAAAACTTTTTCCTCGGGATTTTTTATTCTCCTTGCAATGCGTCTAACGAACACTCGAAAATATTATATCCACAGAATTGAATTTTTTAAATATTTTGAAACAAAAATTTTTTATTAAAAAAAACTGGATTATTAACTTTTAAAGATATATCATAGAAACAACATAATGTAACAATAGAGAAGCAACAGTAAAAAATAAAATAAGCTCATATTATATAGCTCTTTACTCAGATGAGAAATTGATATGAATACTACGAAATATATATTCTCTCATCTGCATTAAGAGATAATAAGTTACATTTTTATTTCAAATTGCTTTCAACATTCGAGTGAAAAAGTTCGGTACTATTTATGCAGCCATAATGTTAAAATAACGATATCTTACTACTGATCTACAACCAAACTTACGATCAAACACGGTCTCCAATCATATATTCATTAAAAATTGAAACAAAGAAGAGAGTAGCAGAGTCAGTCCATTAAAAAAATATCTTCGTACTTTGGCTTTCTCCTTGAACATAAATCGATGCAGGTTAAATCTATATCTTGTAAAATGTATTTACTTAATAGTTTAATGATCAACATACTTCAAGATTTTCTAATAAACTAATAATTATCCAGAATACAAAATGTATAAAAAAAGTTATCATAAAGTTTACAAGCTATGCGGAAAGCTATCGTAGATAAAGTCTACAAGCTACGTTTTTTTTTTGATAGGAAATTATTAGATTTCAATCCAAATCCACATATATTTTATAATGCATTTACTTATTTAACAATTAACATATTTCTATATATTTTTTACTAAACTAATACATATAATTACGCAAAATTTATAAAAAATATAGATAGTCTACAAACTACGTAAGAAAGTTATCATAGATAAAAACTACACAGAAACGCTTCAATCCAAATATTTCAACGGCATAGTCACGTTGAAACTTATGTGTATTCAAGCGTTGATTATTATGGAAAAATTCTCATAAAAAACTCATACAATATTTTTCCAATGAGGATCACAATCGACCTTGTAATAATACCGATTGTTTAAATTCTTCACTACCGTTTTTGTACGATAGCTGATCTGATTATTTCTCTAACAAGAAATAGAAAAGATATACTTACGGAATATACGTTCTGTTCGATGCTAAACGTGGTAATGTGATTCTAAATTTAATTTATGTAACATATTCTACATTTACTAATTTGAATGAGAGATTAGAATCACATGACCACATTTTAGATAGAATACCTAAATATTACAATATACTGTTGTATCATATCTAACTATAATTTATATATTTCATGCCGATAACATCGAGAACAAAATCGTCATGCTAAGAACAAGAGACAGATAAATCAAAGCGATAGAAATAGATAAAATAATAACAATAATTTTAATTAGCCGTTTAATTAGCAGGTAAGTTGCGAAGTATTCCACGGAATTTTCCGGCGATAAAAAAAATTAAAAATAAGTGTGACAAAAATATCATCATATGAGAAGATTGCAGATATATAAATAACAAGGAAAAAAAAATACGGCTATAAATAATATGCGACTTAAATTGTAACATATAGAGGGAGATCGTAAAGAAAGAAACGTGCTTTGATCATTACGGCAAGGCTAAATAAATGAAAGAGCTCGTTGGATGCGTTTCAGGAAGTCCTACGAACCAAGAGGCCCACAGCACGTTTAATTTAACATCGTGGGCCTCGTATTCGCATCCGAGGGCGTAGAGAGTCGTAATAGTATAAGCGGAAATAGAAAATACAGCAGAGAGCTCATGCGGGGCGTATGCAGCGAACGATGCGCGATGCATAGCGGT